CACACTCCATGCCCACCCTCTCCTCCTCTACTCCTCTCCTGGTGTTCAAGTAAAAGTGTCCACACTGGCACAGGCAGCAGGCCACAGTGGTGGCAGTACCACTGCAGACCACACCAAGAGTGTTTCAGAGCAGGTGCAGCATGAGCGGCGGCCTCTGTGGAGGGTGTGTCACCCACTGCAGCTCAGTGGGTGAATGTGGAGGGTGCGTCTGATGGCAGCTCAGTGGGTGAATGGGAAGACTACGGAGGGCAGCGATGCGGAGGCAGCGACAGCAATCAGCAGGCTGCCCTGTTGATACCACGCGTCTGAGGCAGGTTCAGGAGGTCCTTCCTAAATCCACACAACAGGGATGGTGACCCACTGGCCACCAGGGGGAAAGCAGCAGAGTGCCACAGGTCTTCAGGATTGGCAGGCATGATACTATTAGCGTGGGGCAGCAGCAAGGTACTCAGTGCACGTTTAGAAAGGGAAATGCAGGTGGGAATAAAACCACCCTCACATCAAACAATTAGTTTTGCTCTCAGCCTTGCCTCCTAACCTCATAGGACACTCAAGAGTCTGACTGGGAGAGTAGCCACGTTACATATTTAGAACACTTTTATTGTTAGCAAAGAATGGGTTTAGCCAGGCATGGTGCGCACATCTGTAATTCCAGCACACAGAAGGCTGAGGCAGGAGAACTGCAGTGAGATTAAGGCTAACACGGGTTATATAGTGAGTTCAAAGCCAGTCAGAATCACATACGACCCTGTCTCAAAAAAAAAAAAAAAAGAAGACTGGCTTTAAATTAGACACAGTCCTAAATACCTATCATTATTGGAAAAGGAGAGAGAAGGAAACAGTTACTGAAGAATCATTGACAATTTGATGAAGGTTTGAGTGTCAAACACCAGCAATAACTAATATTTTATGGCGAGTGCAAGAAGCCCAAAGCCCTCCCTACAAATATTCACAAGAGTCCTTTCAACTCTACCACGCTAAAGTAACTTGATAAAGCTAACCTAAAACAAAATGTGAGCACATTTTCAGTTTGCATTTGGTCTGAAATTGCAGAAATGAAACATATTTAGCCCTGCCCACTAAGGGAATTTGAGAGATTGAGAGTTGCTGCAGTTACAAAACCAGGTTTAGAAAGGTTTTACCTAGAGTAAAATGTCACAATTCATATACTAGCTCCAGAAAACAAGACTGTTTCCCTACACCAGATATGCTTTGCCCTTCTGGTCCAAGAAATCTCCCCTCCTGGGAACAGCAATACATGTTTGGTTGAGGAACAAAACCACCTGCCAAAATTACAGCATGTGCATGGCCCGGGGTGGCGGTGGGGTCAGTTTGTTAGCCCCTCCCATACACAAAAAAGCAAACAGCCAGCAAACCAGGAAATGGAGTCGCAGACCCATGCGTGCTCTGAGGAACCCCAGGGTGATGACTTAAAGGCATCCCACGTTCAGCCCCATACGCCTCCCCCTAAGAGAAGCCCTTGCCTCTGTGAGGTCTTTCTCAAAGGACTTTCCCAAATCAAAACTGCAGCCTACATCCTTGCCCAATGTCCATCCCTCCTCTCTCCTCCATTTTTCCTCAATTTTTTTTCTTATCTGTTTTCCCCTCTAGAATGAAAACTATAAGGCAAGAGAGGAGTTTGCCTGTTTTGTTCCCTTGCTGCACCCTCAGGGCCTAGAATATGTTTATAACCCAGCTATCTGTTAATGCTTTAGAATAGCATTGTTTTGTTTTGTTTTGAGACAGGGCCTTGCTGAGTTGCCCAGGTCAGGTTTGAACTTGTGATTTTCTTGCCTCAGCCTCCCAAAGCACGGAATTATAGGTATGTGCCACCTTTGCAGCTAGAATATCAATTTTGAAATCTTTAGTTATAATCGTAAAATTAAAATCAAATTGCCAACTCAGAGTACCAATACATTTCTCTTTTATCCTTTCTCAGCTTTTGAATTTTTTTTTGTTGGGAGCCGCCGACACCGGTCGCCTTACTTGGCGGACGTAGGGCCTGTGGGTGGGAGCGGAGCCTGAGCTAGATTGCCCCTCCCATCGAGTGAGTCAAGTTGGCGCCTGCTTCCTGCCCCGATTGCGCTGGCGACTTAAACAACCCGCTCTGTAAGATAGTCTGCCTAGCAACAACTGATGTTAGCCAATCAGCCCGCATCGCGCGCTTTGAACTGATTGGCCACTGTCACCCTATAAAAGTGAATGCCTCTCCCGCCACGAGACAGGAAGCACAGAGAGGAAGCACAGAGAGAGATAGAGAAAGTCCACCGGCGAGAAAGGGCTGGTGGCAGAGAGGAGGCCTCGCGGGGCCCACGCGGAGACAAATAAAGGCAAGGTTGCACACCGCCAGACTTTGTCGTGTGTCTTTCCTGCCGGCCGGGAGCGACCCCGACATTTTTTTTTTTTTAAATACTGGGGATTAAACCCAAGAAGCACTGAGCTACATCCCCAGTTTTTTTTTTTTTTTTTAACTTTTTTGTTTGTTTGTGTTTTGGGGTTCTTTCTTTCTTTTTTTTTTTGAGGCAAGGTCTCCAGCTCAGGCTAGCCTGGAACTCATGGTGATCCTCTTGCCTCAGCCTCTTGAGTATTGGAATTACCAGCATGTACCACCATGCCCAGCACTTTTAGACAGGAACACACTGAAGTAGTCTGGAACTCGTAATCCTTCAGCCTGTCTGCTAAGTTGCTGAGTCTGCATGCACCCTGCTTGCCATCACTAATCTGTATAGAAATATAAATTGAAGCTAGTGATAATTCAGGGCTGAATTTAATTTTTAAAAGCCAGTTTATTCTTAGCAAAGCAGTGAGATCTAGAACATAATGACTACCATTTGAATTTATTAGACCTTATTCAAATTTCTCTCGTTCTTCCTTTAAGAATTGTTAGGGATTGGGGATATAACTCAGTGGGGCAGCGCCTGCCTGGCAAGCATGAGGCCCTGAGTTTTACTCCGGGTATGACAAAAAATAAAACGTGTTGTTAAACTCCTCCTTGCTTCTCCTACACAATAAGCCAATGGCTTCTGCTCCTTGTGTGTCTGGCACGTCTCTCATTCTCCCCATCCCTGACCTTCTTTTCAGGTTGCCTTCCTATCTCTACTCATTCCAACACACACACACACACACACACACGCACGCACGCACGCACATGCACATGCACACGCACAAGCAGAGCACTGGTTGAATCACTTTCCTGCTCCAACACATTAATGGTTCTTGGCCTCCTACTCAGTGAGTAAGGCTTCATGCATCCTGCGGCCCTCCTGCTTTCTCATGGCAAAGCACACAAACTCCTGTGGAATGACCCTGTACTGAGTCCTGCAGCCTCACTGCTCTTGCCATGCTCCCTCGTGACTGAAACTGAACTCAGCCCCCTCATCTTACCTGTCCTCCCACAGCACGGCGAGCCTCAGCCTCTCCTGCCCCTGGATGGGTGCAGGTTCACAGCAAACCACCAGGCCCTCTCTTGGGCGGTTACAGAGCCCTGCTCTGTGGTGAGTTCTGCATACTTGTGTTTTCTCCCCAGTGGACCATGGACACCTTGGAGACAAGGTCTCCCTATTTCTTCTCTGTATCCCATGTAGTATCTTTCCCTGAGATTCTCTAAATACACATTAAGTGAAAGGGGATAGAAAAGAAAGACAAAAATTCTTTCAGCTCTAAGTTATAGGAGAGGATACTTGGTTTGTATATCTGAGCAAGTAACAGACCAACCTGGACACTGTTGTGCTGGGTACAGCCAAGGTTACTTGAAGACCTAAACAAGATCAGCTTAAAACTAGGTGCACAGAGGAAAACAGAGTAGAATGAATAGCTCAGGGCAAACACGGTCTGCCTGGGGACACTGAAAGTGATACCTGAGTCCTAAAATTCAACAGCCAAATGTTTCTCAATCCAAAAGAGACTTGTTGATTTTCAACTTTGCACAAAATAGGAAATTCTGAAATTTAAAGTATTCTGTTTTTATTTTAAACACTGAAAGGTCTGAGCATGACAGACAGTACAGATGATGTTTCCAGAGCCTGTTTGATAAAGCTCACTACTGAGAAGGTCAATTTTCTGGAGATGGGAAGTCCATGCCGATCCGAGCAAGCCCTGTACAGGCGAGGCAGGGCGCCTGCAGTGTCCTGGCTGCTCTCACCTAGGGATGGGACACACATGTGCTGCCGGAGTGACAAGATGAAGTGAGATAGAGATTCTTCCATTAGAATACTGTTTGGGAATGCTTTCTTAACAAAGGAAAACTACTGGCAGTGTTCATAAAAAATAAATGAGCTGCAGAGCAGTGACAAAAGAGAACACGCTGGTCAGACCCAAATGAGGGTCAAATGAGAATTATTACTGGACAAAATAATAGAAATGACACTTAAAGTCCCAAATTCTGAGATGCATGGCTTTGTCCCATAAGCTTACTTTGGAAATCAAATATAATTAATTTCCCAGATCAAGGCTTCACTCTACAACTGCTATAAGGAAAAAAGATCGTAAGATGGAGATGAGAGAAGTTCAGTGAGAAACAGGCTTAGTGTTTTACTTTCCTCACCACAATCACCCAATAAAATGGTTAACCTGGATGGATGTCAAATCTTATAGCTTTCAGTAATTCCAGGCTCTATAAAACCAAATGCATAATTTGAGGAGTTAAGAAGACATCTTTTTGTAATTACCATTACAAGTTCTAATCATTAGAACTTAGCAAATCTAATGCAGAATAGCCTCATAAACACCAACCAGTGTTTAAATAGCTCAGCCCTTTGAGCTAGTGAAGTCTGGACACAAAGAAGCAATCGCTTAAGACACTTCTTTAACTGATGCCCTCAGTGGATAATCACAATTCAGGCTGTGGACACACAGTTTGAGTAGAATTCCTCTTCCTTTCTTTACTCCATTCTCGTTTCTTATTTTATTAATAGCATAACCATTTTTCTTTCTCTGAAGTATGTTTCCTTGAAAGCAACTACATAAATACCCACATCACACAAGGCCCAAATCCAAATTACCTTCTTTTAAAGTCCATTTGATTGAGCCTGTCCTCTTGCTGACAGCGTGCAAACTTCCATCCAAGGTTGACACAAACAGCAAGGTTTCAGGCAAAGTCACTGTGCTGGTACTTGCAAAAATCTGCAATAGGATGTAGAAGAGCCTCACGTCATTATGCTTTTTTACTTTGAGCATGAACAGTCGTGGCCCATTATCCCCAAAGTAATTCTTCATCAAACTCTCCACCTGACAGACGAAGAAGCTGAGCTTGGAAGGATCTGTACTCCCATCGAGGGAACAGCTGAGTCAAGTCATCTTGTTCCATGTAAGCACTGGCCCTACCTGTGGACAGAAAGGCCCATGACAAGTACTGGAACGTTGAAACACCCCATGGGCGCTTCCACTGACACGGAGGGCGACATTCTCCTCAGCCTTCTGATTACCCTGGTCATCTCATAGGACTCCATGATTTAAAAAAAAGAAAGAAAAAAGAATGCTAACAGCCAACACTCAATATACACACTTCCTTTTGAAATTTTATGAAGAAGAATTAGAGAAAAAGTTAGAGGCATGTATTAAAAACAAAAATAGAAAAATAGCTTTTGTTAAACAATTTACATACTAAAACATCAAGCTTCCAAGCTATAAAAGTAAATAAAAAACATCACTTCAAAGTTTTTGCAATCAAAATGCAATTTAAATCAAAACACACCTTTTTTTGTTCAAATGATGAAAAAAAAACATTTTATGAAAATACCCAAATTATCTTTTTCATCTATTCCTGGTTGCATTGAAAATTACACATTACTAGCTGGCACAGTTTGCCTGTAATCCCAGCTTCTCAGGAAGCTGAGACAAGACGGTCACAAATTCAAAAGGGCTGAGGATGTAACTCTGCTCCTTTGGTTCAATCTCCTGTACTTTTAAAAAAAAAAGTGTGCTTCTAATTTTAGATGTTATAATTGTTTCTATCCCCTAAAGAAATAATCCTAGATATGGAAAAGGCTCTGGGCAATAATATTCATTACCAACTACTTAAAAACAAACAAGCAAACAAAAACCCAGAAAGAACCAATTCCCAAGAATATCCAAAAGGCTAAAATCAATTAAGATACATATGCTTGGTGAAATATTATATAGGCATTAATATAGAACTTAGAAAAATTGCAATACAGAAAAATGCTTATATACATTATCTAGTGAAAGAGTCCAAAATCTGCTGTGCACCACTGTTATAATGACACTGTGCACATTTCTGTCCACCTGTCTTCTAGCTTTGCCCTCACCCTCCCCACACAGTTTCCATGGAGCAGCAGTGTGCACACACACATGTGTTCATGGTAGCTGCTAAGGTTTCCTGGGTAAGCCTTCTCTACTGAGATAGGGCCTTCAACAAGGCCAGCCTTATAATAAGATTTTCTCTCTCTCTCTCTCTGCCCCTATGCTGTCCAGCAAATAAGCTTTCTCCTCTGGGTAATTTTAGATTAAAAGCAGGTCAACACAATTTGCTTATACTATAGCAGTTTGAATTCAGGCATAAATGCTTGCTTTACTATCTTTTTTAGGCTGACCTCAAACTCGTGTAATCCTCCTACCTCAGCCTCTCAAGTGTTGGGATTATAGACACCTGCCATCATCCCAGCATAAATGATATTTTTAAAATGTAGAAGTATGGTTGGTTTTAATATTAAACACAAAAAGATTGTGGAGGTCTATTTGTGCATGAGAGCCCCAGAATGACTGGTCACTGTTGTAAAAAAGCAGGATGGGGCCAGGGATATAGCTCAGCAGAACAGTTCTGTCAGGTAAATACAAGGCTAGAATCCAATTTCCGGTACCAAAAAAGAAAAAAAAAAAAAAAAAAAAAAAGCAGCAGCAGGGTGATTGATGCCAGTTAATCCCTTAAAAGGGAAGGCCCCATGGCTTTCTCCAGGGCAGCTTGAGGTGGCTGGGTCCTGCATTCCTTTTCCATAGGGGAGACCCACAGCACAAGGGAGTATGTTAACATAAAATGTCAGAATCTTCCTCATCCCAACTCTTGGGAGTAAGGCCTGGAGAGGAAGAGGTTCAGCCCTTCGTGCTACTTCGGGGCCAGGCCCACTCACCCCAAGATGACTATGGCCTGCTGGGCCCATCCTCTGTACAACACTTGGAACCTGACCAAGAAGAACCTGCTTTTCATTCTAACTATGACCAGCAAACTAGTCTCAGATCAGGGACCAGTAAACAGAAGCATCAAGGGTGGTGCCTGCCCTGTGTGAGGATCCAAAAGTCACCAGTGAGGAATCATTAAAACTATTTTAGCCCACTGGGCCCAGAAGATGTTAAGCCACATCTGGACCTGCTCATCTGATGAGAGGAAGCTATCATGGGGGCAGCTAAGTGAGACCAGGCCGTCTCCCAGAGAGGGGTGGATTTGCTGCGAGCACAGGGATGGCTCAATCATGTTCAGGTGAGCAGTTTGAAGGCTGAATACATGAAAACAGTAGATGTATGCATACCTGGGCCCAGACAGTGGAAAGCCGCTTCCACCTGTCATAGGAATAATTATATCATTGGACCATAGGAATAATTATATCATTGGTTACCATAGGAATAATTATATCATTGGACAACTCTTAGGGTCCACATGGGAACTGAGCTGGATTCAGGGTGACTGAAGTAGAAGGAAGTAAAACATGAGAGAGTTCTGAGAACTGAGAAAAAAAAAAAGATAAAGAGAACAAAAGGAAGCCTGAGAAGAAATGTGACTCAAAAATTTGCAGACAACACCCTGGTTTCCAGTGTTCTTCTCTCTAGCTCGGAGATCCCTCAGGCCCCACACTAAATTTCTCTCTTTGCTTAAGCTTGTTGGAATTAGATTTCTGTCTCTCACAACCTAAACAGTTGACACCTCCACACTAATTTTTTTAAAATGCAGATAGGAAAAAGATGCAAATATTGCAAAATTATAGTAACTGCTTTTTTCTCCTCTAGTTTTCTGTATTTTTAATAACATGATCATGTAATCTGCAATGAATCTTTCATAAACTAGAACAGAGATGTATAAGTTAGCAAGGGGGAGAGAAGCCGAAATTTGAACGCGTTCCAGTAAGCACATGAGTTTCAGGAGAAGCACTTTTCATCCCAGGGCATTAGGCAACTTGACTACCTTTGATTTCTAATACTTAGCAAGACAGACAGAAGTTTAGAAATACAGACATCTCCCAATCAGACTATGCGCATACAAGAATAGAAGAATTTGTTGTTATTAAAGCCTCCCATGAGCCAAGCATGGTGGGGCACACCTGTAATCCCAGCACTTGGGAGGCTGAAGCAGGAGGATTGTTGTGAATTTGAAACCAGCCTCAGCTACAAAGTGAGCTCAAGACCAACCTGAACTGCACAGTGAGATCCTGTCTAAAAGACACACACACACACACACACACACACACACACACACACTCACACACACCCAAATCTACCATACAACAATAACAAACCCCAGCAATAAATCTTATCACAGTAATATTTAAAGTGATCACTACTCATAAAACATTTCAGTGCTCCTTCACCACTAGTATGGAGATGAAAGCCACCTGGTTTGACTGAGCATCTGGCAAACCACAGAAGAGCAATTGTCTACGGTCGGTTGGTGAATCGAAATGAAATACTAATCACACAACTAATGCAGTCTTCTAGAAAACTCAAAGGCATAAGGTTTAGAGAGAAGCTGAATTTAGCAACTAAGAACCCTGACAGTTAATCACAGTGACCACAGTCACCCCCAGCACAACAGGCTAGTTCTTGTCTTTGAAGGTTCTTGGCCAGTTCAAATCCGGATGCCTGGGAAGCCACTCTGCGCGGTGCCACACTCTCGTAAGGCATATGCATGTTACACAATTTCTAGCTTTCCTACCTACAGTTTTCTTTCAGTACTGGGAATCAAGTCATGACCTTACATTTGCCGCTGAGCTGTATCCCTAGCCCCCGCTTGCCTTTTTGAAGCGAAAATGCCTGCCTTCAGATATAGCTGCTGCAACTAACATGAATTAAATGTGCTTCTAGATGACTTTCTTGATACTGAGGACAGCTAAGAACTATTTGTTCTTGAACATTAAAACACACTGCTTCACAATAATGAATTTGCCTGCTGTCTTCACCCAGTTATTTCAAACTTGGTGCTCACTTTTCTCTAAAACGTGAAATAGCAACAGGCCCTACAGCGACACACATTAGTTTGCAAAGAGTATCAAAGTGGAAAGAAAAAGCCAGTTCTGCAGATCTGCTCCACACTGACTGTCTGAAATGCTACTCATGTTTAAAACTACTGGAATACATACTCCTGCAGTGACAGTAACTTCTAGAAAGGAGTCCACAGAAACACTGCGGAGGCTGAGAACAACAGGGGTGAGCTCACTGGTCCCCACAGACACCAGACTGCCCGCACAGACTCTCGCACATGAGGCGACTGCAGAGCATTTGAGAAATGCCCGACCTGAGGACCGTGAAGCCTGGCTACACACTGCAGAAGATGTGGGAAAACCAGCCCATTTCAGGTAGTGGGATTTGGTGGTGGCAGAGTCCTTATTACAGCCCTGCTCAGAGAGAATCTGACTTGACTTCGGAAACAGGGTTATACCACATAGTTTGCGTTGGCCTTGAACTTACCATGTAGTCCAGGCGATCCTCCTGCCTCAGCCACCCAAGTCCTGGGATCACAGGGGAATGTCACCATGTCTGGCTCAGAGAGGATTTTAACAAGTCTTCCCCATGAAAACAAATGTGAGATCAGGATGGGGCTGAACTGTCCACTGTTTCGATTATCAGAGCTCCACCAAAGTCTGACAGCCTCACAGCTCAAAAAAGGCACCATCCACACTGCATTTACTATGGAGATATGGGAAAACTACCAACTGTTTTAGCAGAGATGAATAACAGTCACCAACAATTTAATTATTCTCAATATTCTGAATTCTGCTAATCATTAGTTGCTCTTCCATTAATTAACTCTTTATATTTCCAGTAAGAAAAAAATCTTCTCTAAAATACCCTCCGATATAACTTTGTTTAGAGTCTTCAGTGAAGAGAATTACAGAATCAAGGGGCAGATACGTGTCTTTACAGCACAAAAACAAATAAAATGACATCTAACAAAAACC